CTCCCGTGCCCAAACGCCGTGCAAGCAAGCAAGCAAGCAAGCAAGCAGCTTGACCCGGAGGACGGGGAGCTCTTGCATAGGACGAGGCGCCAAAGCCAAAACAACCCGCCTAACATGTCCGCCCACATGCAAGAACACGAGCTGCAGCAGTTGCCGTTAGACCCAGTGTCGGCGGCAGCCGTACACACGCTGAGAAGCCGGGTCCAACTACCGCTTGAGGACCCTTACGCACCGGGCAGTGGCCTTGCAAGCCAGCCGTTCCCGTTGACGAAGCTTACGGCGCCCGAGCACACCACCCCTGGGCGGAGCAGGTCCGGCCGGCAGCGGGGCGCAGCACAAGCAGAGGAGGAGACAGAGCAACCACATGGGGGGGGACCACCCAGAGCCCACGACAGCAGACAGACCCACAGCCGCAGCAGCCAGCCAAGACGAGGAAGAGCAGTGCAACGACCCCGACAGAGGGGACAACCCGGCCTCGGGGCACACCCTCGCCCAAGACCAACACACAGAGGCAGCAACAGGGGACACCGCCCTCCCGCAGCAGCAAGCCGCAGCGAGTGAGGAGAAAGCAGACGGGGACCAGACAGCGACAGCAGCCCGGCAACCCAGAACACAGCCAGCGCAGCAGGAGGCACACACACAGCACAAGAGTCCCAAACCCAAGGGAGGGCTGCAGCTGGCGTAGCTTCCGCTTGGCTCTGTAGACATGTAGAGCTTGTGGGGCGTTGTTGCCCCCCCTGCCTTCTTGGGCTCCATTTGAGAGCGCTAACACATCCGCTGGGTGGGCTTCAGTCTGCTCCGCCTCCCCTCTGTGTGGGTATGTCCCCACGAGCACATGCACTCCGTCTGCCGCTGCCGCAAGGAAGTTCTGCAGTCTCCTCAGGGTCTCCCCTGGGTTGTGGCGGAGCCCCGTGTCTGCATTGTTGCTTGAAGCGTGGCTTCCGCCTCCTCTGCCGCATCTGTCGCGTGGTGCGTTCTTTGCCAGTCTCCGGAACGGCGGCCCCCCAGCAGGAGTTGTTGCCCCGCCTGGAGCAGGCCCTGCACTTCTAGAAGCTCGCCTTTGTCTGGCACGCCGCCCCCCAGTGTGACGCGGTCCACCATGAGGCCGACTACCAAGGCTGCTATCTGAAATGCGTTTGGGGTCGGTGGCGGCGGTCGTTCCCCCGGCCTCGGTAGCAGCGCTTCTGTCTCCCTCAGTCTGCGCTCCACTTCTGGCATCTGAAGCTCGCCTGCGAGGCGTGCTGCTGCTGAGATGTGCTCGCTTGCTGCTCTTGTCACTGGCTGCGGCTGCTGCTGAGTGTCCCCCTCCTTGGTGCGTTGTGGCTGTCAAGGGCTCTCCCCCTGGCTGTGTCTGGCAGGCCGCTGGCTGTGCTGTGGCTTGTTCTAGTGCTGTTTGTGTCTCTGCTTCTTGGCTTTGGAGGAGCTGGGAGGCTTGGCTTCTGGCTTTCTTCAACGGGCTCGGGGTGCTGTTGCTGCCGTGGTGGGTGCTTGTGTTGGGTCCGTCTCGCCCGGGTGGTCTTGTGCGGCTGCCGGCGGCTACTGCTGCTTGTGGTGGCTCTGTGGTTGGTGGGTCGCCCCCTTGTGGTGGTTGTGTCTCTGCGGGTGCTGGTAGCCTGCTGCCGTGTTCTGTCCTTTCGAACATCCCCTTCCACATCTCCTCGGTCTTCGTCAGCTATGGAGGACGGGCTGTCATGTTGTTGCTGAGTGCTGGCGGCACATGGAGGCGGGATCCATGGCACTGTTGCTGCTTCGGCTGTGCCTGGGGGGTGGTGTTGTCTGGCTCCGTGGCCCGGGCAGGGTGTTCCCCTGGTGCGGCATCCCTTTCTGCATGAGGCTTTGGCGGTCTGGTGGAGGGTCTTCGCTGGGCCAGCTGCTTTCAGAGTCGCTCGGTGGTTGTGGTGGCGGTCGTTTGGGTGTGGCCACGGTGCTGGCTTGCTGTTGGGTGCGCCTTGGAATGCTGCTATTGCCGCCTTCGAGTAGAAAGAGTATCCTCCTGGCCGGGGACATCCGCGAGACTGTCAGTGCCGTGCTCACCCACCTGACGCAATGGACGACGGAACACTGGGGGAGCGACGTGGAGCTGGTTGCTGACGACGACGAAGTAGACGGGGACACGGCGGCCAGAGCCTCAGCGACCTCTACGACCGCTGCTGGGGGGGCGCCACTGAGAGGACAAGTGAGGCGAAGAGAGCCACGCCGCCGCCTCACATCCCCAAGTCGATAATGATGATTAGGGGGCTCGTTGATTCTCTGTTGGGTTCGTTGTTTGGGGGTTCCGCTACGCTTTGCCACGGGGCTCGAGGCCGCAGCTCGGGGGCCCTCTGCCTCTTAACTTACCTGGGTACCCCACTGCTCCTTCCCCCTTTCTGCCTCGAGCCCTGCAGAAGAGGCCTGACAACGAACAGACCTTGAGCCTGGGGGACACAGCGCCGTATCGTAGTTAGGGGTAGGCCTGCTGACTTCGTCGAGTGTCCTCCAGGTCCCAGTGTGTACTAGGGAGGCTCGCTAGACTGCTACTTTCACGTAACACAGGGGGACACCAAGGGAGTGAATGCAACTTTGGCATAAGGGGGTAACTCTGCTTGTTTTCTGAAGGATGTCCCCAAGAAGTACCGTCTTGTAGCGCGTGCCAAGTCTGGAGCCGCAGAGGGAACAGGGCCAGGTGTGAACTTGCTGTTTCGCTGACGGTTCAGGACGTGTGCTGTTGTTCCGCTAGTGCTCCTCTGCATGGGGGCTCTGCCGACTAGACACCCGAGCAAGCCCCATTGGTTTCCCATAGGGGGCGCGGAGATGAGGCCGGGATGCAGGTTGGGGGTGCTTAGCGTGCAGGGTCGGGGGCTTGCTGCTTGGGTTCTGTCGCAGACTTCGTACTCTTGTGCAGCGGTCTTTACCAACCCCAAAGCCTTTCACTCAATAAAACAGTGGGTGAGGGGGCGGGCCGAAGGCCTGAGAGTCGCAACAGCGGCCCTTAAGCCCGGCAGAAAGAAAGAAAGAGAGAGAGAGGGGGGCCTGGCCCTCCTAGCCCTGGCGAAAGAAAGAAAGAAAAAGAGAGAGAGAGAGAGAGGGGAACAATCCCCTTGTCCCTAGCCCTGGCGAAGGAGAGAGAGAGAGAGACAGTTACCCCATCAAGCTGCAGACTTGGATCACATTCGACCACAGCACCTCACAGCCGGGCCCTGGAAGGCGAAGTTGCATCCATGTCTGTTAGATCTGCAGATGTTGCCATCTTTGTCCGCCTACGGTTGGATGCAAAGAACTCGCGCCAGGAAACTATATCAACAGGCCCACCTTCCAGCCCATTTTTCTCGGGAGCAGGCAATAGTCAAGACATCTTCTTCGCTGTCGATGTGCTACAAGCCGATGCCACACCGACCACGCTCGAAGCCTCAGCGGGAAACATGTTGACCTAGGCCGGCTGCAGATTGATCGGGGAAATTAGTTTGCCGTCGTGTGTTTGCTTCTCTGTTATTTCGGAGCCATCAAACTCGGGCGATGGAGTCACACGGAACCACGTCTTTTATGCAACTGAGGCCTGGGGAACAGACCTTGCAACCATATCTTTTACCTTCTGGACATCCTTTATGACTCATTTCCTTGGGGCCTACGGTGGTTGTTTCACTTCTCCCCAAAGAGCCCTTTAGCAGGAGTGAGCCAATGGGCTCGTGGGCAGACCAGACCAGAACAGAACAGAGAGAGCGCTGCTAGAGAGAGAGAGTTCCCGCCACTACAGGCCCCAAACTTTCCGTCTGTCCCGCTCTCCCTTCGAACGGATAGCTGGCATTTCAGCTCAGGGGCTGGGTTTTTCATGCCAGTTGAGCCAGAATGGCCTTGGGCGGCATGCGATTTCACTATTGCCCACCGCAACTTTCGGGGTGGCAAACGCGCGCGGGCAAACGGGGCTTGCTCCCTTTGCCCATAGCCCTGGCGAAAGAAAGAGGGAGAGAGAGGGCGCTGTTCAACTGAACCAATGCCTGGCACCACCGCTGTCAACATGGCAATGGGGGAGCACCATCCTTGTCCATATATCTTTAGGCTCCTTTACTCAGCTCCCAGTGCCAGACAGTATAAAGAATAACCTTGAATAAACAGCGAGGGATGTTTAGCCTTCGTGTTCCTTCCGTCCTGACAAAACGCTTGTAAAGTCAAGACAGATTTGCAAAGTTGTCATGTTGTTTTACAACGCCGTATGTAAGCATCTTGTTCGGAAGTCCATGTCATCGAGAGCGTACGGTTGACTATCCCCCATGCCCGAGGGCGAGAGAGCGACTGAGGGTCGCCAGACGACCTGTAAGCCCGGCAGAAAGAAAGACTGAGAGAGAGCGCGCGAGTGCAGTCTTCAGCTGAGCAATTTACCATGGTCCCAACATCCCACACGAACAAACGTGAACACAACTAAAGCCAAGCTGACCACCAACAGAAGGGCGTCCTCCACACGGGGGCCAGGCCAAGCGAAAGAAACAGAGAGCTCGGCCCCAGAATGACATGGGGAGCGCCGGGACGCCGGGAGCGCGGAGGGGAGGGGGGGGGGTCCTTCCCCGCCCTCTTACGCTTGCGAAAGAAAGAGCGCTGTGTCAGCTGGAACTAATGATGCCAGAGCCTGCAGCGGGGAGTCAGACGCAATAAGGTACACTAAAGGGGCTGTGCTCGAGCTGCAGGCGTTTGCCCGGACGATGTGCATTCTCAGGGTCTTGGACGGGAATTGCGCCGGGTGCTCCACGGCTGCATGCCGCATATGGACAGTAGCAGAAGCTCGGGAATGCAGGCGTCATCAGCCCGGTTCCATTGCAAGCTGACAGTCGGAAGGGCCGCTACATTGCTACTTCTTGCCGTCCTCTCACTGTTCCCCTCTTAACTCTTCCTTGGTCTGCCGTTCGTTCCTGCTCGTGGATACACAGATCGGAGTCTGCCATGGCAAGGGTCAGTGTGTAGAAGTTGGGCTATTGCAGAGAGCCCGGAGTGACTTTTGCAGAACGTGATGGTTCCTGGCGGAAGCGGCTGAGGCTGGGGAGTCTCTGCCGAATTTGAGCCGCGAGCCGTTTTTCATGGGACTGATGCTTCAGAAGATGAGGTGCAAAGGCTGCAAAAAAGCTTACACGTGTTTGTTCGGATTCACATCCAATTCTGAGGTCCTGGCATTGGGTTCATGTCTCCGATTGCAGGAGCTGTTCCTTGCTATACTTCAGATGCTCTGCCTGAGGCACTTCTTCGTGACCAAAGTGGAACATGGAACTTGCAGGCCCGGAAGCTACAACAGCTGAACGGAACGGATGCCATAGCGACTCCTTCACGATCATTTCTTCGTGCGAGTTGCAGGGCAAGGGTTCTTCTCGAGGTTTCTCTCCACCGGAATCCATCACGGAAGCGGACTTGGGTGCGGGATTAAATCATCTTCGTATCTACTGCAAAGTCTCGCACATACCGGCAATGCAACACGGTCTGTGCGCAATGCTTCAAGCCCCCCTCCCCCCCTGACCGGCACAACGCTCGCGAACGCGACACCTGACCTACGAGCCTCCACCTCCGCGTGGTGCGCATTTTGGATGCATGGGTGCCCCTGGAATGATTCTTTGACTGTTCACTCAGTCCATGTCACGTGGCCTTAAACAAGATCTGTTTTATCCCGCATATTACCCCACATATCATATCATATAGAGATGATAGAGTGAGATACCACAGCGGCCACAGTCCGCCCCCATGGTCTCGCACTTGATGATTTTGGCTGTAGCATGTTGCAGTATTTCTGGAGAATTTTTGAGAAGTTCAGGTGATGAGCAATGTCAAAAGCAAGTCTATGCACGCTACAGATCAGCGTAGCTTCCTGAAGGTGCAGGGCTCTTATACTCGCAAGTTTTCGGTCTCAGACGGGTCACGAGTTCAGTGAAGGCCGACGCTGCTTGCACTCATTTCATGGACTTCTCGGACTTCTACGTCCTGCCACAGTCCCCACTTCCGGATGCGTGGCGCATGTCCGAGGATGCTTTGCGGAGACGCCGGGCAGCATTGATCTACAGTCGTGGATCTACCGCCTGCTGACCGTGGCCGACAGAAGTGTCATAGGCAGAGCAGCATGCAACAGGTGCATTCGCCCTTGAGCGCAGCGCCACATCAGAGAGGGCTCTTCAGTGTCCAGCTCTTGCTGAGCGGTTGTGGGGTGCTTGGCAAGCACATAGAGAGTGAGAGGGAGAGAGAGAGAGCTGACATCTCAAATCATCTCAAGGACTTCTTTTGTGGGGCAGGAGACATGTGCGGATGCAAATTGTACACGCCGCAATGCGACGATGCCCGGTGCATACATCCCAAGGCCACAGCGACCCAGAGTCTGCTTCGGCAGCTTGTTTGAAGCTGCGGCAGAAGCTCTCCAAACAACAGGAGATCTGGTGGGTCCGCATCGGAAAGGTTCTTCGAGCTGACCTTGTCCGATGTCTGCATGACACGCATCGATCTAAAAGTATAGGCGGCTTCTGCAGCAGTTTCGGCTCTACGAAACAGAATGCGCGTAAGCGCTATGTGTTATTGCATTTGGTATTGAACCTTGCCTGCCCCAGGCCAGGCACGTTTGTTCTCAACATGTTCCGACAGCTCGATGTCGACTTGAATATCCGTCGCAGCCGCTTGGTGCATGAGAGCATTTTAGAAAGCGTGCTGCTTTCTGCGCTGGGAGGTGATACACCCCTCATGGCCTGGGCTTCCTTTTTGCTGCTGCCGCTGCTGCGGGCAGAAGCCCAATCCTTGCTGCAAGTGGAGGGACAGCTCCGGAGGCCCAGCGAGACAAGCTGCAAGAGCATGCATGAGCATGCTGCCTTCCCATTGGACCCACGCCCCTCAGGACACAGCAGGCCGCAGCCAGCCCTCACGATGCGGCGTGGTTTTATGCCTTGGAGGCGATCCAGCCGGCGGAGGCAGGAAGTGCAGGAACAACCAAGATTCGTTGAAGCCTCTTCGAAATACTCACTGACACTGCTCCTCTAGTGGGAGCATCTGTTGGCGATGATGCCTGGATGAGCATTCTGACACTGCGAGATTGGTGCGATTGCAGTCCAGGCAGTACCTCCGCTGACTGCAATGCCTTGGCGCAGGCTTTGGAGTCCGAGCATCCCCATCCTCGTCTTCGACCGCAAAGACAGCAAGCCACGCTCAGTGTGGCGCAGGGGGAAGTCTCGGAAAACCTCGAGGCAGCATTACGTAGGTTGGTCTCGGTTGCAAGGTGCGTCACTGGGCTGATCGCGAGGTGCAAAAGCATGTTACACAAAAGCCAAGTGTCAGCCACACTTCAACGAATCTCGAGGCAGGACGTTGATGCGTTGCAGTTGGAAAACGACGCCCAACGACTGTGTGTTCTGGGGAGGCCACCACCCCGTCGCCGAAGGCCGAGCAGACGGAAGGTCCTCTGCAGAAACGTGCGGTCTTGGGCAATCTCACGTGCTCCAAGCCTGGCTGCGCAGCAAACGTTACCTTACAGCTCTACGACCCTGAGACGGAGCGGGTTGAAGGGACTCATAGCTCTCAGCACCTTAAGGGCCTTCTTTCAGAGCGTGCACAAAGCACCGGTGTTGCGTGTCAGGGTGTGGCAATGCATTCGACTCTACACCGTTGCTTCAATCTGTTTCATGTTGCTGGTTTCTTCAGGGTTAACGAATTTTGCTGTTTTCTTCAAGGGCTTGGCATGCTTGTTTTCGCAACTGAAGTCTGCCTATTCTGTCTGTTGGTTGCAGGAATATGCACGGGATTGCAACCTAAGTTTGGCGGTTCATGCCACAGACTTTGATGACAACTTCGCTGGGGAGCGGGTGGCCAACTTTTTGGCCAACGGTCGCGCAATGGGTGGAGATTGCTACCCGTTGGTGAACGGGTGCGTGTCAAAAGCATCCCGCGAGCTGCTCTTTACGTGCATCTCCGACCTGCCGGTGGACACTGTCATAAGTAGAACGGGAAAACTTCGAGTGGACGCAGAGATTCCTGGAAATGTAGATGAATGTCCATACCACGGCAACCTGCTGCATGGTGTTACCACCATACAGTGTCATGTTGGCAAGCTTGCGGATCTCACTACTACATCTACCACTGCCACTACCACCACAGTTGCAGAGAATTCGGTGGCCGGTGCATCTGGTGCGTCTGGCAGACAGGCTTCACCTGAGGACTTGGACTTCGTAAAGAAGTGGCTAGCGGAGCATCCTGGCAAGTCGATCGAGGAGATGCCGGGCTACAGCTCCTTCTACAACTTGAGCAACATGTCGGACAGGCCGCCCCTGCCTGCCAGCCTTGGGATTTCGGGCTACTACGGATCTTCTGCAAGGCATTTGGAAGCGCAGCTGGGCAGCGGCCCAGGTCACGGCCAAGCCCGGCCAAGATTCCCTTTCCACCGGCCAACCAACCTGGCCACTCAGGGAGCGCTGCGTTGTGCAGAGAAGGGATGTTCCACTTCGCTCATCTTGAACTTCAACCGGACATTGGCGCAAATCAACAGGCCACCTGTTTTTGAACAGAAGCTTGACTTGTATTGTCAGACGCTCCACGGACCGTTCTTGTCAAGGTGCGTGGCGCAGCTTTGGGTCAATCAGACAGACTTCGACAACTTGGACGGCGCCGAGGAACTCCTAAGTGTCAGTGTCGCCGGCAAAGAGGCAAGCACGGCGTTCTCAAGCTGCGGAGAGTGCACGCTGCACGCTTCAGCTCTGAGGTGCTGTCGCAGGCGAAGCCTGGAAAGAACCCATGTCGAAGCGCGTACAATGGAAAGCCCCTTTCCCTCAAGGACGCCTGTCCGCAAGACTGTTCTTACTTGTGCATCATAGTATTTCATAGTCTGGCTCTGTCGTTCCGGACTGGTGTGCAGGATATTCGCTACCATGCCCTTGAAGATTTGGACATCACGCAGGCTGTACATCAGAATTAGGTTGTGATACTAAACTTCTTGAGCTTCGTGGGAAGCCTGTGGCTCGCCAGGCTATCAGGGATGGGCCTGTCAGAATCTCTGCGCAGATCTCGGACCAAGTGGACGAATGTCCAAGTAATGGCTACTTGTTGGACTCTGCTCTGGAGGCGTGGCAGGGTCGACATGCACAAGTCAGCCTCACTTCGACCCTTGATTGGTTCTAGGTGAGCTGCAACATCTCCACGATTGGGGCACTGCTGGAAGAGGATGAGGTGTCTGTTGCGGATGTCTTGGATTTGAACAAGGCGCGGATTCCACAAGTTAGGGACAAGAATGACATGGGATGCACGCCCCTGTCGCTAGCTTGAAACAAGGTTCACAAGAACAGAGTGCATGAAAAGGAGATCTTGCAACTGGTAGGCCGCGCGCGGTTCGTGAAAATGTAGATACTGTAGGCACCTGCGCCTGCCCACCCGCCCACCACCCACCCACCTGCCACCCATCCACCCCTCCACCCATCCACCCACCCACCCACAAAACCCACCCCCCACCACCCACCCCCCACACCCCCCACCACCCCCCACCCCCCACACCCCACCCCCCACCCCCCACCCCCCACCCCCCACCCCCCACCCAAAAGAATGGGGCTGATTTGGGAACCCTTGGACGTACCACAGGTCTGTTGGAAAACTGTAAAAGCACAGGTCGCGAAACTGAACTGAATGATTGGTAAGATGTGCTTTGCCTTGACTTGTGCCACGGATCCGTTTTAAAGTCAATCTCAACCTTTCTTTCTGCGGATTCTTGCGCATTCGAGGGCCCTTGAAGCAAGATAGAGAGCCACGTGTAGACTCGCGAGCCATGGGTGCTTGCTGCTAGATGGGACGAAATCCTTTTTTGGACACCGAAAATCGTGACAGCACAGATTGAGTCAGTAACATTGGTGCCGCGGAGATCCTGTTCGATCTTGGAGGCGATCATCAGGTGTCAGGCCGGAAAATGCACATCAGATGAGAAGGGCGCCTTCGGATTCCAATTTTGGACGGGCGGCCCGAGGGCTTCCATCACTTCGCGCACGCAAGAGATCAAGTGCTATTTCGAAAGGACGTAGTCGTCTGAGAGGCTGTATGCAGCTGCCCAGTTGATAAGACGTATTCTGGAGAATGATTACCCTTCCCTTCGCTCGTTGATGTATCGTCTAGATTCTGCAGACGTTGTCAGTGAAGAGGCCACGGGGCTTTGATCAAGCTCCAGGAGAAATCCCTTCCCAGACACGGCAGCAAAGTTGACGGCTTGTTACAGACGTGTTGTCAGGAAGGCAACAGTACCGCAATTCCTCATCCGTGAAGAAGCCCTTTGTGAAATCACGTGGAAGAGATTGCAACGACTGCTCCGACAGAAATCCGTTGATTTCAGCAAGTATGGCGTGACGATGGAGGAATTGAAGGCCTTCTGCGGCATGCGGATCTTATTTAAGGGGCTGCGCCCAGAGTCGGGCAATGCAGGCAGTTCATTCATTCATTCATTCATTCATTCATTCATCCATCCATCCATCCATCCATCCATCCATCCATCCATTCATTCATTCATTCATTCATTCATTCATTCATTCATTCATTCATGCATTCCTTAATTCATTCAATCATTCATTCGTTCATTCATTCATTCATTCATTCATTCAATCAATCCGTCAATCAATCAATCAATCATTCAATCAATCAATCAATCATTCAATCATTTAATCATTCGTTCATTCAATCATTCATTCATTCATTCATTCATTCGTTCATTCATTCATTCATTCATTCATTCATTCATTCACTCATTCATTGGGCGGGGGGCAATGAAAAGCGCAGAAGGGGGGGGGGCCCTG